GGTCTTTTTCATTTTTTACTCTGCATTCTCTCTTGAGCAGCATTGCCCAATATAACTTTCTGTGGCAATGAAAGTGTTCTCTTTCACTTTCCTATCATATGGGCACATAAGTACATGGGGCTATGAGCACTTGAAATGTGGCTAGTGTGACCAAGTAACTGAATTTTAAATTTTATTTAACTTTAATTAATTTTTTTCTTTTAAAGATGTGGGGTACAATTCAGGGTTAGATATACAAATGTTCATCAAGCAAGTACCCTTGTTGATGAGGTGTGCCCCTGCTTCCCCAGGCAGATTCCCACTACTGCCAATCCCACTTCTCCAACTTTAATTAATTTTAATGTAAATAACCACATGCAGTTAGTGGCTACCACATTGGACAGCATAGCCCTAAGCCACCAAAAGGAGTCAGATATCCCCAAATTTTTAGTCACTATTGCCACCATAGGACCGATTTGCCAAAGCCACTTCCTCCTTCAACTCCTTGCCCTCCACTTCCATCCATGCAATAATTATGTAGTTTTGTTGCCATTTTACATGAAAAAATTGTCTCCCGCCTTTTCTCCAGCAAGAAGGTTATCCATGCAAATGTACAAGCAACCTAGTCCTAGAATTCCATCTTGAGGACCATTCAGTTACTGTATTAATCATCCAGAATTGCACACCTATATGGGGTAAAACTCTTACATGTTACCTAAAGGAATCATTTAAAGCAATGCTGGTAGGAATGTGGAAGACCCCAGGGGTTAGTGGTGTGAAGAGCCATTAACCACACCTACACCTGAAGGCACCAGGAAGCGTGTTGACCAGGTAGCTCTAAGAGGTAGTTCTAGCCATGGGAGCTGGTCTCCTGCTGGAGTGGGACCTTCTGAGGGTGACGCAAGTAGTCACTACCACCCAAAGGAACCCAGAAACGAGTGCATTGGACCCATCTCCTGCTCACCAGCATCCTTCCTTTGCCTTCCATTAGCAAACCCAACCAGAGTATGAAGAAAGTCATTATTGCCATCCATCAAGTACAGCCTACAAGTCATAGAGGAGGGTGGATAAGAGTAGAGAGTGCTAGAGTAGCAAGCAAGATGTTCCTCTCCCTCCTTTTGGAACAACTAAGGAAACTCTGGCTAGGTGAGACCTGGACTCAGACCTTGCACTAAGTCCCCAGAGAAGTGTCACCTCTGAGCTCTTGACCAAGCCCTGGAGTGCGCAGCTGATCTCCTCTCTCCTGGAGCTACTTCCCAAGGAAATAAAATGAGGTATAAACACTGATGATGATGAAGACAATGGGGATAATTAAGCAACCAAAGGGGGACAGATGAAAAGGTGTTTTTGAAAAAACCTTGAACTAAAGCATAGGAATGGGCAATCTTCCATGTCTAAGGATGATTCTCACTAATTTTGTTCCCTCTCTGTGATAAACTCTTATCACTGTAATCCTCTAAAATACATTCTACACATTCCTCAGCATGACATTCTCTAGTTCTAAAGAACTCTTTAATGTATTTTTTATTCTGTGTGTGTGCACGTGTGTGTGTATACCACACTTTTAACTGTGTTGTAAGCTCTATGAGGACAAGATTACATCACCACAGCTAGTAAACTCATGTCTACTAGATTACTGAGGATCTTTTTGCTCACTCTGGCATTTCGTGCCATACAAGGCAAGGACTGTGCCTGGGGTCCTTAGGAAAGGTGGCAGGAAGGCAGCCTGGGTCATCTCACTGCAGAGCAGCCAGGCCATGAAGGACTCCTGGGCTCCCGTGGTCAGGCTGAGTTGTCCCCGTGAAGCAGCTTTCCGGGTACTCTGTGTCCAGACTCTGGAGCTGTCTGGCAGTCCTGCTAATCATTCACCACCTTTGGCTTCTTGCTCGGCTGCTCATGGGCAGTGTCTGGATGGGATGGGCGATTCCTATCTTCAAAGTGCTAGGATCAGGATGCTCATGTTTTAATGATCAACGCGGAGCCTTGATGCCTGGCCAAGGCAGGGAACCGAGCATCCCAGATGGACCTTAAGTGGGGCTCCTTGTCCTGCATCTGTGTCACTCTCAATCTCCCATTGCTTTGAAGAAGGGCTGCTGTTGAGTCTCCCTCCTCTTCTGACTACTAGTGCCCACCCTACAGCTGCCAGGAATAGCTGACAGTGTGAGTGTGGAGCTAGAATAAGTTCTGCTGTCTCCACCTCACAGAGACCACAGCCCTGAGGTCCTAGAAGCAACATTCAGAGTGACCAGTCAGCTCTTCATCGGGCCAGCAGACCACAGGTGCCCCAGACTAGCCCTGCTGATACTCAGAGAAGTAAAGGATTCTGTGCTTCTCCCGGAGCAAATGTGGGAACCAAGGAGAGTCCCCAGGTTGTCTCCTCCCCGATTCACTTCAGAAATGTCATTCTCAGAGTGTCCCCTTGACTCTCCTATCTCTGGGCATTCAGCTGGACAGTGATTTTCACGAATATGAGCAATTCACCAAAAGGGAGAAAAGAACACATTCACTTCTGTGGAACGGCATGCCTAACTTTATTTCCACTTTAGGGAAATTAAGTCTAACTCTCACTTGTTAAGATAAGGGTTTGACATTCAGCAAATCAAGAGGGAACTAGAAGTAGACACCAGACTCTGACTGCCAGCCAGTATATTTCCCAAATTCCCATGCTGCCCCTGAAAACTGTCTCTACACCTCAGTGGTAGAGGGCTCAGAGGCAGTGTGGTGCTCATGTAACCTCTCCTCCTCCCTACTGGGAGCACTGTCAGCACACAGGTGCTGCCTCTCTGCCCCACAGCTTCGCTTGTAGCCAGAGCACAGGTGAACGTGCAGAGGGCTGAAGTCAGCAAGATACGTGTTCTGTGATAAGCTCCCTCTCCCCGCAGCACACCTGTCTCCCTCAGAGAAACTCCTGCTCCACATACCCTCTGCAGTAAACCCAGAAGCATTTGCAGGCCCAGCGATGCCTCACGTCCCCGGCACCTCATTCTCTGCCATCACCTCTCCCTATGCTCAGCTGCCTATTGCCAATACCTAGAACTCAGACTTCATAGGTACCTTAGACACTCATCAAGCAAAAATTGAGACATGAAGCTGATGGGCTATTTGCCATGAAAATTCAAATGGTTCACACTGGCTCACTGGAGTCATGCCTCTCCATACTGTCTACATTGTCAGGACCACGTCAAATTCCTTGTGTCAGTTAGGGATGGACCGTGGAGGCACAGTGATATGGGATATGGATTTCTTATCGAAAGTAGGCCTAGCCGGGCTCAGTGGCTCAGCCTATAATCCCGCGCTTTGGGAGGCTGAGATGAGTGGATTGCCTGAGCCCGCGGGTTC